GGGAAGATGGCAGTGATGTGCCCATGACAAAAAAGTTCCAAGCTTATCACTAATGTTTTCTATCCAGCCAAAGATGATTGATTAGCAGACAGGCCCCCCACAAGGTGTGAGATGGAACCTGAACCATTGCCAGGAAGATGGCAGTGAGGTGCCCATGACAAAAAGTGCCCAGCTTAACACTGACGTATTCTATCCAGCCAAAGATGATTGATTAGCAGACAGGCATCCCCCAAGGTGTGAGATGGAACCTGAACCATTGCCAGGAAGATGGCAATGCAATGAGGTGCCCATTACAAAAAAGTGCCCAGCTTAACACTGACGTTTTCTATCCAGCCAAAGATGATTGATTAGCAGACAGGCNAGATGGCAATGCAATGAGGTGCCCATTACAAAAAAGTGCCCAGCTTAACACTGACGTTTTCTATCCAGCCAAAGATGATTGATTAGCAGACAGGCCCCCCACAAGGTGTGAGATGGWACCTGAACCATTGCCAGGAAGATGGCAATGAGGTGGTGCCYATGACAAAWAGTGCCCAGCTTAACACYGAAGTTTTCTATCAAGCCAAAGATGATTGATTAGCAGATAGGCATCCCACAAGGTGTGAGATGGAACCTGAACCATTGCCAKGAAGATGGCAGTGAGGTGGTGCCCATGACAAAATGTGSCAAGCTTAACACTGACGTWTTCTATCCAGCCAAAGATGATTGATTAGCAGACAGGCCTCCCACAAGGTTGAATCTAAAACTGTGACAAAGTTGGAGGYTGGGTTTTCAAAGCAGATGTGAGTAAGGTGCCCACAGGGAAAAGTGCCTTTAGAAGTTCATCATGGATGKTTTTTGTCCAGACAAGGAGGATTGAGTTGCAGATAATGGTGTGACCCATACAGCAAGAAGAGCCAAGTTAATCATATAKTTTCTTTTGATCGAAACAATCTTGATTTGAAGACTTGTCTCTCAGAATTTTCAGTTTTCCATGGCAAGTGATAACACAACAAGWAGGGTCTTAAAGTTCACCATTGATACAAGTAAAGTTCTTTATTACTTCTTCAGCAAGGCAAMCAATACTGTT